TTTTAAAAAATTTTAAAAAGCTCATTAAATATTTATTTAAAATTTATTAAAAATTTTAATAATTTTTATAATATAATAAAATAAGATAAAATTTCAAAATTTTAACTTTTAATCAATCCCTATGTTGTCTATATATAAAGTCAAAAAGTGAAATAACTAAGATGAAGGGCGGACGTTTTAACTAGACTTGAGATCAAATATGTATCTTACTTCAGTTAATATTTTTTTCCTAGTGACTTGGAATGACAAAAGAAAGGATATGTTGGTCAAAGTTTTCTTCCCAAATTGCTCTACTTAATTTTCTATATCTGCATATGACAGATTTTCGTTGCATGTAAAGTAGATACTAAAATGCAACAAAGTTAAAAATGAGAAAAACAATCTAGAATCTAATTCTTTAAAGGAGGCAGGAAAGTATAGATAATCCAAGGAAAGGACTACGTCATATACTAAAATTAGTAAATTATCAAAAAAAAAAAAAATAGAGCTACTAATATAAGAGAAGAAAATATGGGAATTAAAAAACTATACCTGCTGGCCTGAAACTTGTGCTTCTAATGCTGAGAAGGCAGAAAATGCAGTAGATTATATCTCAAATGAAATAATGCCTATCTGCATATCAAATAGATAATAAAATGCGAGATGATAAGTTAGTAAATATAAAAATGGGGAGAAAAACTTGTTAATTTTGCAATGAGAGCAGTTGCTATCATTTACCTTAGAAAATAAGAGGCAATGAAGAGAAAAAGGCAGGGAAAGTGGAATGATAACTAGAACAGCAGTTTTCAATTTTGCAGTAAAAGCAGTTGATTCGCTGAGAAAGGCTTCTGCAGTGAAAACGGTTGATTTGCTGAGAGAGGTTTCTGCACCTGTTAATTTTCGTCGCCTAAATGACTCTGAGCGACGAACGAAAGGATAACAATATTGTTATAGCTTCTCCACAGAGAGCTCCTAAGCACGTACTATCTGGTTAGCTATACTTCCAAGATCAATTTTTATTACATACATATTAAAGTAGAAACCAAAATGCAGTAAGCAGATAACCAACATCTAGAATTTAATCCTATGGAAGCGGAAGAGTAAAATCCAAGACAAAAAATATGTTAGAAAATAGTTTGTTAAATCATTTATTCAATAAAAAAATTGAAAGAAGAAAAAGTACCTTGTTTTAAATGACTTTGTTTCCTCCAAATGACTTATTAGAATAAGAAAAGAAAGAATACGCCTGATGAAAGGTTTCTCTACAAATTACTCAGGTGTACTTTCTCCCTGCATAAAATATTTTCATTACATATAGAGTAGAAACCAAAATGCAACAAAGTAAAAAATGAGAATAGCTAGAATCCTTTGGAAGAGGTGGGAGAATATTGTCCAAAGAAAAAACCATGTTAATTACTAAAATGATAAAAAAAAATTGAAGCTTTTGACTTTTCAGAGAAGAAAAATGAATGTGAAGAATGCAGGGATAGGCAATACTAGTAGTAGTAGCATATATATATATATACATACACATACACTTGCGTGCACGTATGTGTATATATTCACAC